TCTATACTGTTTAGCACGTAGCTATTTATTATTAGCATTGTTCTTCCGACATCTGATTTCTTTTTAATTATATGAAATGCGTTTTTCTACGGTACATAAACTTTTGGGATTGACTATATAACCAATACATCCTTAAACTATAAATGATAACCATAATTTTAACGCGGAGGCTTTGTCACCTCTAATAATGAATTGCGTCACACTGTAGCGACGGCATAGATGGGACGTGAGAGTTTCGTTGGTTAAGTAAGTTAAAAAGGGGTAGTTAGCGAGGAAGTTAGTGGAACGGCAGCTAAGGTAACAGCGTGGGTGGTGTTGGGGAATATAACCGAAGATTAGAGGGTGACTGGAGGGTGAGTAAGTTGATGTTACCGAAGAGACAGTTCCGACGGGAAATTGGGAGACGCCGGAGGAAGGAATTTTAGTAAAAAAAAAGTGTAATAGAGAGACGAGCCGATGAGGAAGACGTCTAATAAAGAATAAAGATAGAAAACAAGCCGATAAGAAGATTTGTGAAGTGTGTGACAGGGAAACAGTAAGCCGGCTATGAGAATCGAGAGTGTAAGATGGGATACGAAGAAAAAGTAGAAAATAATAGTTGAAAATAAGAGGAGGGAACAGTAAGGAGCGTTGACGAGAAAAGGAATGCACAGTTCGAAAAAAGTTAACGTGATTCAGGAACTGGAATTACGAGTGCAGCTGAGGCGAATATCAAAGAAGAGAATTGATAAAGAGAATGAAACGAAAAAATGAAAAGGCAAACGAACCATGCAAAGGCAAACTCAAAGAGGGAAGAATGCTACAGATTCTGAAAGGGCGTCAAAAAGCATTCTCGGAGTCGAAAACGCTTTTTGACGAGAAACGAAAGGACAAGGAAAATGTGCGAAAAACGGACGATGCGTATAAAGAATAAATCCAAATAAAAATGCGAAGCACGTAGGTAAGAATCAGAAGTAAGATCTAAGGGAAAGGGCTGGGATCAAAAAAGGGCAAAGCAGATGGAACACAAGGATATCAAGTCAAAGGTCAAAGTGAGTGAGTCAAACAGAGCAGGGTTGCTTGAGCTGGCCAGAAAGTATGAATAAAATTGAAACGGTGAAAAGATACAAAGAACCAAAGAATCAAACGTAAAGCTTCGGAGAGGGGATGAAATCGGAAAGGAAGATTAATAATCAGAGGGATCGAGAGTGATCGCACCGGAGATGAAGTCGCGCAAAAACAGAATGAAAACCGGAAAGGAATTAATGGAAGAAAAATATACATGGGGCGTGCAGTTGAAAGCAGGCAAACGTTTATCGATGCATTAACCGATGCTATAAAATGAGGGAAGCATGGGTTATTAACCTACATAATCCTGTGACTGTGTTCTAAACATGATAATTGCCGCCCTTTAAAGCATATCACGTCGGCTCAGTTACTTAATTCTATCGTTTGTGTGAGGTTCTGCCTACTATACAAACGATTTAATTATCTTCCGCGTAATTTTGCTTTAAAGAAACAAGAAAATTTCAAGCGAACGGACGGAGAGATGATTCGCGCCATCAACTGCGCGCTCACGTTCAATTCCGTGTTCCATAAATCTCCGGCGCATTGATTAACGTCGCGTTCCATTTTTAAGAACCTTGGCAAACGCGCTCGATAATTTAATCATCGTGCTCGTACGATATCGACGAACCGGGCCCTCCTCCCCCAACCCGGGTTGACGAAAATCCTAGCGAGCGGTTAAAAAACATTTCCCATCATTCCCGATTAACCCTTTCACTGTTCAACGCAACAAAGACAGATTCCGAGCGTTATAGATTGCATTTGTTTCACGTTTTAACGTACATATATGTATATATATGTACTCCAAAGTATTTTAATTAATACAAGAATTAAACAAATGCAAATCATTGCGCTGTGAAATTATCACGGTGTACTATTGTAGTATACGGCTTGAACAAAAGCCGTTGGAATAAAGTAGATTTATATATTTCTCTTCGCTTTACCTCGCCATGAAAGAGTTAATTTTTCCGCTTTGGAACAACCACGCTCCCTTTCCAGCGAGGAAGTTAGGTCAATGGACTCTCGCGGAGGTTCCACCGCCGCGTAACGCGAAATAAATCGTCTCTAGCGCCCGAAAACAGAAAAAGAAGAGGAAAAAACGCGTCGAGAGGCCCGTCAACAAGGTTTCTGGCACGCTGCCGGTGGAATTTCGTCGAAAGATTGTCTTCGACCGCCGCTGCCAAAGCCCCGAAGTCATCCCGCGGAAAACAGGGATTTCCACGTTCCGCGTCCTACCTTTTTCCCTGCGAGAAAATTAATTCTCACCGGGGAAAACTCGGTGACGTTAACGAAGTCGAAGACCCCGATAAAAATCGCGTCGCCGATTCCTGAACGCAATTTTATATATTATCAGTGTCAATTAAACGGGGATTCGTAATAATCTCTTAAACGCTCTCGAGAAAGATTTCACGATTTCAGTCATTAATTTAAGGACCAGTTCCCCTTACCTCTTTGGTCCCACTTCACACCTCGCTGTCTCGATTCGAGCGTGTTTCGAACGTGTCAGCAAGCGTCGTCGCAGCCGCGCGAGCTTTTCATCATCGTCAAACACGGGTGGGGGAGGGGATGCAAAAAATTCTCTTCAAACTCTTCGAATGAACTTCCTCTCTGCCAAACGAGAGGTCTTTGAACTTACCGGGTCCCGCAATCCTCTCCTCGTCGCCTCGGGAGATATTAAACACCCCTTGGCCACGGGGGTGAGACTGACACCCTTTATTTGTCTCTTGTTCCTTGACTGTACATATTTGTTTAATCTTCATAGGAATAGTAAGAAAAATCAACAGCGATTCAATAATACTCTTTGTTTTAAAAGACGATATTGTTTATTCTGAATTCCTACTGTTTTTTATTGTACTACATTTTTACCAATTTGGTATTCAATTTTGAGTTACGCTTTTTGCCCAGGCTCGTTTGCAGTGTTGCGGTGTGAACGGCACCGAGACGACGGATCAGGCGGGGAACTCGACTCAACCAGCGCTATCACTATCACCGTCGCAGTTATGCCAGGGCCCGAAGTCGACGCAACAGCTCCGTAACAGCCCCGAGTGTTCCGAGAGCCGGTGGTAACACAAGTTTTGGATTTAGCGGCGTCAAGTTGTGTCCCCGGTGCTCCCGGGATGAGAGTCCGACAAGCCCGCTAAGCGTCTGATGGCGCCTCCTTAAAGAAAACTCGCTCTCGGTGCCACTTAATCGATACCAATCCCGGTTCAGACTGGGACCAGGAATGATACAACGTCTCACGAAAGTATTCTTTCAATATGCAGAATCAGTGAGAACTGGCGCTGATAGAACTGTCGCAATTCTGACACAAGCGTCACGGTTCTGATTAAATTTTAAGGAAATTTTATCATACACGAGTCTTGTACACGGGAGAAAATATTTTCGGTTGTTACTAAATACTTTTCGCAGGTACTGTACTGTTAGACAGTTTACAAGCCATGCGATTTATCTCGGAAGCGCCACGACCTCCATTTCCGTGGGAATTCTGGGATTTAAGGGTTTCTCAATCGTTTTTTTCGAACCTCGAGATTCGTGTTTCGGGAATTATCCGAGCTTTGTCTGCCTCTCTCTCTCTCCCATCAGGAATTCGATTTCTCAAAGTAGAAATTATCGCCTCTTTACTTTCTCCTCTTCACTCTAACAGAAATCTTTTTTCGTGTTTTACAAAGAAGTTTTGAGTGTTCTCTGCTTTTAGGTACAAAGTTGGATTTAATTAATGTTGATTATATCTTTCCAGGACAAAGTTGAAATTAAATTTGCGAATTAAATTTGTAAGTTTCGGCCATCCTTTTTAGAGCATAACTCGGAATTTCGAAAGTGCAACATGTTTCGCGGAAATTAAATTGGAATTGAAAGTTTCGGTGGGTGTAGGCTAAACGCAGAACGCTGTCCGAGTTGAATCACGATTTTCAGAACGCGGAGTTATGTTAAATCGAGTTTGTAAAAAATTGAATCGCTTGCTCCGTCGGATGACAGAAAACTCCGACCGAGTCTATCCTTCGATGAAATTTGATTTTAATCGAGTCGATCGTTCAGGAAAATTAATTTAAACTTAGTTTTCCACCCTTAGAACTGAATTTAACTTTAATCGAATTTATACTTTCAACGATAATTAATTCCGATTCAATTTGCCGTCCTAATCTCCTGCAAAGAAATATTTAAAACGTGCAACTTGATTATTCTATTACAAACTTTCCAATTTCGTAAATTTATTGTAAAAATAACTAAAACATTCTATTGAGTTGTCAAAGTATTATCGAAATATGCGTGATAACGATTTTCGTTTAAAATTTGAACTACTGCCTCCCACAGGAATGGGAATCGCGCGCATGATTTTGTAATTAAACGCACGAAAATGCAAAGTAAACGCTGCGCGGTGCTACACTCTGCCAGTCTTGTAAACGTTGTTACCCAGAAATTCATTTCCTCGCCCCGAATCGGTAGCCGATACGATTCGTTCGATGCCACGGAATGAAATTCATTAATACAAATATTCACCAGTCAGTAATTTCATCCTGGCCCGGGTAAATCGATTAACAGACCCGATATTCTTTCGCTTTTCCAGCCAAAAAGGAACTCATGACGTTCTTCATTGCCACTGAAATGTTTGCTTTGATCTCATCTTAATTACTTTTCTCCATTCTCCATCGTACGTCTCTTTCATAACTTTTCACAGTCGAACGTTAGTAAAATATTGCAAAATTTTTAACTCTCTAATTAAACCAATTACTACACTCATACTTTCAAATATTTTTCCTAGTATTTTTCTGCTCCTTTCACGTACTCTGTGACTTATTGCCCACCGTATACGAGAGTTATTTTTAAAGTTCGACGAAAAATGATTACCAGCTGCACGATGGAATTGATTTATGTACCTTCGGTAATGGTTTATTGGCAATTGCATTAAATGCATCGTGATATATTTGCTCGGCGACCTGAACCATTCTATGATTGACACTGGCGTCAATTCTTGCGTGTGCATGCCTTTTTTTTTTTTAAATATTCTGATTTATCGTTAATGCGAAATACAATGAAGTAAGAAGCAACGTTTAAAGATTTATGCCAATAGCTGAATTACTGTGATTCATATCTAGCTTTTTTAACGATCCATCGAAAAGTGCATGTTTAACTGTGACGCAGGATTAGTAAACATGCGAGCTGTAAAGCTCGCTGATTAATTCTCTCGTTTTTTATTTTAGTTTAACCGTCGGTAAAAACCGCATCCCCGGATTTGCTCGTGATAGGATGTCAGTTTTTTTAACCGATTCTCAAATCCGTACAACACGGAGTGTAAACTGCGGTTGGCAAGCGATTTTCCTGCGAATTTCCCAAAATACCTGATTCAATGTTCCGCTGCCATTGTATTTTCAACAATAGACCGCTGCCCCTTCTGTTGTTTTATTGTTGAACAGTTGATTGACTCGCTTAAATCCTAAAACTATGCGAACCACGTATTCTTTATTTCTTCGAAAAGAATAGTATTACCTTTCTATAACTTCAATTAGATTTGCTGGTCTACTGTAAAATTTTTTCGATAAATTTCTCTTTGTCTCCCTGTCCATTTTTTTTTATGCTACATGGCAGTCTTTTTTTTACGAATTCATTGAATTCACGAATTACATACGTATGATTAATATAACTGAAAAATTTTTAATCCTTTATTATAAAATGGAACCGGCACTCTACTCAGTTTACTGAATCATGAAAATTATTTTGCAACTCTATCGATTCACCGGTGTGTATTTTGAATCACCGCTTTTTACCACCGAGATAGCTACACGCGATATCATTTTTCATTTCATTCCCAGAGTCGATGAATCCCCCATGGCCAGATACAAAAAACATTTTGATCACGATTAAATACACGTATTTTATAAACATATTTCAAGCGACGTTGAGTTTTTAAACACATTTCCTTTTCACCGAAGTTTCACAGAAAAATACAGTTAAAACGGATCGTTACGCTTTTCCGAATTTCCTCGTGCGTTTTTAATTCCTATATCGGCGGCTTTTACGGATCCAGCGGATCGAAAGCTGTGAAACGTTGGAATGTGAAAACGCGTCGGGCGGTCTTCAAACGACCTTGAGAGGGCGGGAAAGCTCGCAGATAAGAGTGGGCATCGCGAGTTCCCGAATACACGCCACTCGCAAACTCGAAAGTGGGACAGTCGAGTGCGTTCAACGAGTGTGAGGGATGCATGTAACTCATACTAGCACTATCGCGGCGTGCAACCGATGAGAGAAAGAATGTCATTAACTACTTGTCCTACTTGTACGTACGTGTCGCGTTTCAATCCTCTCGCATTTTTCGCAGGGAAACGTGTCTCTCTCAGCACATACCTAATTATACCAACGGGACCCTCGCGACTTCTTCGCAAAAATGTACGCGTGGATCGTAGATTTCCTCCGAGAGTGTTCGCGACCCTTTTTCCACTCCGAGGTGTGAAGCGTATCCGTTATCGGTGCGGCCGCTTTTCGACGTACGTACCCACTCGCGTTAATCGCTCCATTGTTCGGCCACGTTGGATGTCTTCGACCAAAGCCACGACACGGGTGTGTACGCGTTTAAGCCAGAGCCCGTGGGTATACACACAAGGGGACAATACACGTGTACAAGTTCGAAGCCGACAGACGTGTATCGGGGACATACAGCCTCTGGCCTCCTCAAGGTGTTCTCTCGCGCTCGACGTACGTTACCTATACGTACAAACCCGTTCACAAATCTCACCGTTGGTTCGTAAAAACCAGATAGGAAAGTCAAATGAAAAAGTGATTAATTCAAATCAAACTTGCATTATTTTAGCAAGCAGGTGTGATTTATGTGCGATAGCGGACAGGTGAAGAACAACACGTATATGTCTGACTCGAATTTGAAGATGTTCTAAAATTTCAAACATGTCGATGATCTCGATCGAATTAATCAATGATTATTAATTGAAGTAATTTCTATAATTATTGTTAGGTTTTTAGAAAATCGCGTCTTCAGACTTGTGAGCGGGATTGTACTTGCACCCTCGGCGCGACACGCGAGTGGACCGCCTGCAAGGAGCTTAAAGGGGAATTACAGGCCGGTTACAGGCCGCTGAGGGTGGTGAACTAGATTCGACCCGATCCGATCGAGTGCCGCTTAAACGGGTCGCGTGTTTGTCGCGGACACGAACCTTGCTTTTGGGAACGATGTAACGTAACAAGATTATATCATACAAGAAACGTTAGTACCTTATTTAAGAACGTAAACCCCATTGACATTTGTGTCACACAATCGGCAGAACATTCGTCAGATTGAATTACGTATGCAATTCGGTGACGCCGTAATAAAAGTTAGTCTAAAGGCCGGAGAAAAATACTAGCTGCATATAAGTGAAAAATTCTGAACCGTGCAATTCTTCTTCAATTCCATTTCCCCAATTCAAAGTTCATTACCTGGAGATATTCGAGTCTTAATTGCCGCATTGTTCGCGATGTTCCACGAGGCACTTGGAGCTGTGCACGCGACGCTACGGACGATGTCGGCGTGTAAAGAAAAAGTCGGCGCCGAAGACGAAGGAAGAGGGAGGATGGGGGCGCGGGCGAGAAAGGAAAAATCTTTTCTCCGCCGCCGCCGTTCATCCTCTTCGTCACTTCAGTTCGCGAGCCACTTCGCCGCCGTTTCAGTGACGCGTTCCACCTTTTTATTGGCACGCGTGTGCTGGTTTACTTTTTTTTTTTTCAAGTTCCTCCCCGTCACGGGACTTCTTCCGTTATTCACGCTGCTCATTGTGCTTCGAGTGCGGTTGCAAACGCGCCGCGTTTCCCCTACCTGGGGAAGAATGCGATTTACGGAGCGGATTGATATGACAGCTAATTCGATTAAATTCAAACCAACTGTTGTAATTACGTGACATTTACATTTTACATCGTTCTTCAGTCAAATGAAAAATGCAATATTCGTTCATTAAAGACGCATACAATTTCTTATGAAATCATTTAATTATATTGTCATTCTAAGTATTTTTGTTTTTAAATTTCCAAGTCATTTCTCTTATAATATTTTAATGAAACAATTTAATATAATATTTCTATTAACTTGTCACGATTATATTTAATAATGCGGTATAGTAATACATACAGCAGGCTGCGGTAATTGAATGATTCATTCAAGCCAGGCAGTAAGCGGCGAAACAATTTCTCCGCGCAAGCTGATTCCACTCATTTGTGTAACTCCGAGCTTGATTGCTCGCCCGAGTTAGGCCTAGTTCCAGTTTGTCTAGCTAACATAACTGACTGAAACGCGCGACTGCCTCTGTGTAACAGTGTAACTAAATTTCCAGGACCGACATGATATCCAGTCGACGAGTTTATTGCTTATAAAAAACTGTCCTACCATCGCTTCTCTTGTCAACTCGAGTTTCGTTTATTTGGACATCAAATCTCAATGATCATAAAATTATTTATACGTTTGAAAGGGTGGAAGCCTTCTTCGTCACTTCTACTGTCTTCTAATTATTAAACTTATATTTTTATGAAATTAAAATTTCAGATGGGGAATAAGAAGAGTAATTAAGTTAAAACGTGATTATACGCGATAAGTAGTACAGCGAAGGACAGTGATTACATAATTCCATCAGAATCAATTAACTTCGCTCACTAATCATCTCTTTAATATTCTCGTTACGAAAGGATAGTTTAAAAGTTCGTACCTGGAGGGAGCATGCGTATTTTGCTCCGACGCCTTCATCTCTCTGGCTGGCATATAATTACACTCGTCAGACACGTCCCCTTAGGGTCGTGTTTTTCCGCGGGGAGGTAGAAGAGTGTCTTGGAAAAGCAGAGAAGAAATGTGAGAGGGGGCGATAGAGGATCCGTTGTGTGAACGGTTTGGACACGGCTGCGTTATCACGTTGATAACGGCAGTGGTGCATGACGCACGAAACAGCCCGACATTCATTAATCGACGCCGCGGCACGGCACCGTCACCCTTTAAGCAGCAAAAGCTTTTGCGTCTCATTAGTGTGGCACCGAGAGAGGGTCGCGACGAAGAGGAGCCACGCCAGCTCCACTTCACGTTCACCACTTTCGCCCTCACCCTCTCGTTCCCTTCGTTCTCTCTATGCGGCAGTGGCGTAGTCAGGGATTTAATTCGAGGAGTTTGCGTATCGCGTTTAGCTCCGGTTTTAGTTACAACGTTTTAGTTCGTCGGATCGTACTAATTTCCTGTTTCTACTGGCTATACAACGCGACGTGCAAATAGTCATCACCTGTTACCTTTTATGAAGTTTACTTAAAAATTTAGGGGAATATTTACATTCATAATAATTACTTCGTTTCGAAGAAGATACGATTGCAGGTTCGGAATAAACTCAGTCAAGTCGATGGTTCAAAGTATTGGAAGTATAGCGTGCCGAAGCACGATCCTTTTAAGGAAAAGTTCAACTCCCACAGGAATGTGATATTTTCCTGTTGGCTCTCGCCATTCTCTATATACAGAGCGTGTATAACGCTAATACCCAAAGCTAGCGCATTGTTTCCTCAGAAGAAAGCTTTGGGATAAATAACATAAAAGTCGTTCTTTAGACCACCACGGCACGTTAAATTCTAATAACTTTAGAGATTCAATATACCATAAGATCATACTAAGAGGAATATGAGAGAATAATTCGAAATTCTTCAAATTGCGTACGTTCTTAAGCTACGCCATTGTTTCTCGAGAATGGGACGAGAGGAACATGAAAATAATAAGAAACTGTTGGGTCGCTCGAAGAGGTAGACAAGGAATCTTCCCTTTCGTACTTAGCCATGACGAAAAGGATAACGGCCAAGGGAAGAACGTTTCGCGGCCGGGCTGCCTTGACGCGATAACACTGGATTTGATGTGGATTACCGCGTACATCGCCGGACTCTGTTTCATAGCGATCTTTGCCAACATCCTGGTGGTGGTGTCCATCGGAGTTCTCGTATGGAAGACCGATTGCAGCGAGAAATGACTGCGAAAGGTAAAATCCCTTACATTTATTGATACCAACATAAGGGATAACCGAACATATGTATGTCAGTTCGTGTCATAAAGCGTAGACGAGGTATACGAATACACGTATTGTCTTATACAGGGTGTTTGCGAAATCATGGTACAACCGGCAAGGGGATGATTCCTCACATAAAATCTAGTCGAAAACAAGGAATATAATTTTTTCATACGGGGTGTCATTTTTTAGAAAATCGAGTTTTTATCTCTTAAACCAGTACGACTGTTGGATTGGCCGAGGTGGAACTGTTGCGTAGCCCCCGAGATCGCCAAATCTTACTCCTTTAGATTTTTATTTGTGGAGTCACGAGAAAGAAATAGTTTATGCCTAAAATAATCAAAATCGGAACCAATTAAAATGTAATATCGTTCAGGCATTCGAAGCAGTTAAAAACTCGAACACATTAGTTTCGGTTCACGCTTCACTAATTCGTCAAGAAAAAATTTGCCTACAACAGCAAGGA